ACTCCTGGACCCGTTCAAATCCGCATGTGTACGGTAAGTTGGCCCGTTCCACAGAGGAAAGAGAAAAAAATTGACACTCCCTATTCTACCCTTCCTACAAACGCTCCTGGAGCAGGGAATTTGAAATTGGGGAAGGGTTTTTTCCTCCCATCTATTATATGTTTTTAATTTAAAAAGATACAACAAATGTACTTACTGTGATTGGTTATGATCCTTGCTTTTCTTTAAAATGGTCATGGTTCGATTCTCAATACCTGTCTTTTTAATGAATAAAAAAAGTAATTGTGAAGACCAAAATGTCCTTCCTACTTTCACTCTCGTTGCAGGAAATTTGAAATGGGGCTCTCATTTTTCCCTTCGGCGTATTATATTACTATCACGAAAAATAACAGTAGCAATTTGTATTCAGGTTACGTATTAGTATAAGAATATCTAAATTCTTCAAATACTTTAAACATTCAAATCGATTAGGTGAATAAGATAATCAAAATTATTAAAATAGTTCAACAATTCACAAGAATGAACATTGTACTGTTTCCGACAGAGTAATAACTAATCGACTAAAATCGTTTTACGAAAATGAAAGAAAACCCCCCACTTTTAATATGTTATTATTTATTATCTTCATATTTTGACGGGTTTGGGGCTAGGACATGCACGTAACTTGGATTAGGATAATAGTTTGAGTAATTGAGTATGAGATAATAATGTAAGATGAATCTGGAGGAAAGTGGGGGTCGGCTATTCTTTTGGTGATAGAGTTGTCACAATATTAGTAGTCTCAACATAATTAATTATTATTAGTATATTTCATATGAGCATTATCGTTTGATAATCTTATAGTACATGATATTTATTTTTTAAATTGCAGTACATAATAATAAATTTTGACAACAAACAATTTTAAATAATGTACTCTAAATTTATAAAGAGAACACGGTAACAAAAAGTGCATTGGGAATTCCATGAGAATTGCAATGCAAATAAAACAAACTCCATGAGGTAGCTTTTTCGATTTTGGCAATTTTTGGTGTTTTGGAATCGGTTTTAACTATAGGTGTCAAAACATAGCCCGACCCGATTAACCCGCCCGATCAACCCGACAGTCAACAACCTGTAACCCGCCCGACCCGCAACCCGATTGACCCGCAACCCGACTAACCCGCAACCCGATTGACCTGCAACCCGATTAACCCAAACCCGACTGACCCGCAACCCGATTGCCCCGAACCCGACTAACCCGTAACCCGACCGACTCAACCCGAACTTCATCTAATCCACTTGAATATTTTTTTTTTTTTTTGATACCCAGGAACCTCAGCCCCACGTGCCACTTTGTGACAGCGGGTCCTACTAAACCTGGGGGCCACCTGCATTTAATTTGACGCCAACGGGGCTTCGCCCCCAGCAGCCTTGTACCTCCGGGAACACCAACGGGCCTCGCTTGGATTCGAACCTGGGATCTGCAACTCCCAAGCCTTCACTGTTGCGGCAGCTTTTACCGTTAGGCTATCTTACCTTTGGTACTTGAATAATTATTATAACATACAATACATAGTTTTTCAAAATAAAATTTTTCATTCTAAACTTAGGTAAAATTATTTTTTCATTTCGTGTAGCAAATTTAAAAAATATGAAACTCACTTGGTATTATGTATTTTAAGAAAATTACAAAAATTGAAACATGAAGGTCACTTGAACACTAAGTTCTTTAACAAAATTAAAAAAGTAAATATAAAATATAAAATCAACATAATGTCAATATTAATAATGAAGAATTAATAATTGAGATCATGGACAATATTAATATAATATATAAATTAAACTATAAATAAAGTGGAGTAATGTATTTGGTAGTTTGATATTTTTAAAAGAAAAGAGAAATTTTGGTGTATTCAACTTTTTGGGAAGAGAAAGAAGAGGGAAATTTGGTTCTTTGAATTTTTTAGAAAAGAAACAGGTGGGAATTTTGGTGGTTTTGATTTGTGGGAAGAGAAAGAAGTGGGAAAGTTTGGTTCTTTTGATTATGAAAGAGAAATAATGAGGGAAATTTTGAGTTTTCAACTTTTTTGTAGAAAGAATGAAGGAAGAAGGAAATTTGGTTCTTTCAATTTTATGGAAGAGAAAAAGGAGAGAAAGTTGAGTGTTTCTAATTTCTGAAGAAGAAAGAATGAGAGAAATTTTAGTATTTTTTATTGTGAAAAGAAAGAAGGAAACAAATTTGGTGTTTTCGATTTTTGATTTTTCAAAAATTTAGCCTTTGAAATATGAATCTTTAACTTTTATATGGCATGACTAGTTAAATTTATTCTTGAAGGCTAATATGTATATGTATGTAATTGTTTATGGCTAATAAATAAATTAAGCATTAGTTACAACAATTATACTAAACTTGATAAGTAATCTTTGACGGTTCGTTATTTAGGGTATAAAGTATATGGTTAGGGTAGGGTGTATATGGTTAGTGTATAAGAATTGATGGTTTTGACGGTTCTAAGTTTTTTATTAACATATGTTCACTTGAAGTCATTTGAAGTCTTTAACGGCAGGAGATCCATTTTCAATTTATGTTTATGGTACGTGGCTAGGGTACAAGGTATGTGGTGTAAAGTATAGGATATATGGTTAGGGTATAACAATTAGCAAATATCACTTTTTATCTATGTTTTGAAAATCGAAGTATGAATTTCACTTTTAAATTAACTATACTAACAAAATCACAACTCAAGGACATATGGTTAGAGTATAGGGTATACACTACAGGAAAAAACCTATTTAAGCATGGTAAATCCCGTATTTAAAAGTGTGTTTCCCGTGTTTAATTGTTTTAGTCATGGGAAAATTACCGTAATATATACCTCCGTGTCTAATTGTAAAGGTCATGGAAAATTTGTACCGTGAGTAGTTATAACTACTCACAGTATGATTTCCCTTGATAATTTATACTTTTTAATCACAGGAAGCCCCATGACTAATACCAAGTCTTGCCACGCAAAACTGATAAAAAAAACTAATTCAGAGACGGGATGTAGAGCTTTTAACACGGTATTTGCTGTGACAAAATTGTTTCCTGTGACTAGAAGTCAATCAATAGTCTCAGTATTTGCAATTTTGTTGGTTCTCCCGTATTAACTTACTAACCATTGAGTATTATGTGTATTCGTCAATACTAGCCACAATATTCTCCCATTATAGTTGATACATAAAATTTTGTAAAATAACATATAATTGATTAGAACATCTCTTATAGCATGAAATTTTAATATTATTGTCAATACCATTGATTCAAATATCAACATAAAAACATTATATAGCAAACTAATGAAAAATAAAAAACAAACCCCATATCTTGATCATCAAGACAACCCAATACAATGCTTGCCCGAAAGGGTGAGTCTGTTGAGTTTTTTTTCTTTGGAACATAGAGAGTGTCTGAGTGTGGGCTTGGCTAGAAAGGTAATGCCACTTTTAGTTTTTCTAGGTAAAATAAATTGGGAAGCGCGGGCGCCAAAATTTTTAGCTTTGTGGAGCCAAATATTTAGTAGCCAAATTTAGAATTGGGCTGGCGGGAAAAAAAGCGGGAGATCCAAATTGCTCAGCACAAAATTTTGGGTTGCAAATGGAGTCCAATTTATTAACTATTCTTGAGACTTTTAGGTTAATATGTGGGAATTATTTTGGAGTATGTTTGATATGTGAGAGAGAAAATTTTGCATTAATTCTAAGTTTTTATTTTAGAATTATGAGGGACTCGAAATTTATTGCTTTGTGTTTTGAAATTCTTTTACTTTATCTTTCTTTAATTCCACCTAAATTTGTAAAGGCAAATTGGTATATCGTTCACGGTAATCACTGTGACTAACAATTAATCACGGGAAATGAAGACTAAAATACAGGCAAATTAGTTCCCGGTATACAATTAAATACGAAAAAATTTCCCATGACTAGTAGCACACTTTTTAGTACGGGAAAAATTCCCGTGAATAAGGTACCGTGACTAGAAATCAGATTTCCTATAGTGATAGGGTATGTGGTTAGTTTATAATGTATTGATGATTTAGGGTATACAATCAACAACATATACTAACTTAATATTGTTGATTGAGGGTAAGGCTAAGTGTATAGGATATATGTTATTGAGTAAGTTATGATTGAAGTCACAATAATTTTACTAAGTTTGATAGTTAATCTTTAATGGTTCAATTTTAAGGATAATTCGAACAATTTTACACATAATTCGTTTGGCAACAGTTTACCGAAGTTATTTGGGCAATGAGTTATTTCGAAATAACTCCTTTTATCACTCTGCTTTTGCCAAATACCACATGCCAAATATCAGATTTGCATGGTTATAGTAAACGAGATACTTTAATACAATTACTACTGAATTAATACTAAAATATCAAATAAACAATTAATGGTGTCTTTTGGTTGCAAATATTGATATCACCATTACTATTAGCTAGTGTACTTTATCAATTATGATTAATTGCATAACAAGTTTGCAAGTCATACAAATTGATTTAACATTTTGACTAGTTTTTTTTTTAAATTAAGTATATATATATACGAGGTAGAAATAAATTGGTTAAAAAGTTGAGAAAATATTTTAAATTAGTGTAATAAAATGTGTAAGTTGGTAACGAGTAATGAGTAAGTTACTCGATGCGCTGGCCCGAACAACCCGAGACCCGATCCGCCCGCAACCCGCCCGACCCAAAACCCGATGAACCCGCAACCCGATTTACCCGCAACCTGATTGAACCCGAACCCGATGAACCCGCAACCCGACTAACCCGCAACCCATTTGAACCCAAACCCGATGAACCCGATGTCACATCCCGATCTCTAAAATCCTTAAATAATATTTTTGCTCCGGAGCATATTTAAAATTTAGAAAGAAAGGAATAATAATATGCTTTAAATACCAATACTGAAAAGAAATTGTTATAATTCATAAGCAAAGCCCTAACATTTGGGCAAACCTCAAACCATAAATTCTTATCCTTTTAAATCTCCAGTCATTACTCATAATCATAAAGCAAATAACTAATGATTACAAATGCTGCTTACTCCAATCCGTGGTCAGACATCTTCAGAAGTGCTCACGTGGTCCTCCTCGGGTAGCCTGCTCTCTCACTTGATGCTCCTCGACTGGATGCTCCCTAGCTTCTCCTCTACGACCTGGTGAGTGGGTTGGGGTCAGTCTACGCCATTACTTAAACTTGAAGCACTTCCGGGTATTCCCTTAAGTGTTCACCTCAAAAACTTGTGGAAGTTGTTCACACTTCCACCCTTTAAATTTTAACCCTTAAAAAATGTGGGAGTTGTTGTTACTCGCCACCCTCAAAATCTTAAATCTTTGACGACTCTGGGATCCCCTCACTAACTAGTCCAACCGCCCAGCTCATACGTATGAGGGCCAACATAGGCCTTTCCTTAAACCGTTTTATGGGAGTAATCTATTCAACCCCATAAACCTTAAGAGTATACCATACTCTTCCTTTAAACTTCATGTGATGTCTAAGTGATTCATCCACATGTTCCTTAAGAGCAAACTTGCTCTTCCTTTAAACTTTCACTGGGGCGAGGGACTGTCGTTAGTGAACTATCTTTAAATCTTTTCACCCTAATTTAATTAGGAGCGAAATACCTCTTAAATATTGATCCTTAAAGATCAAACAACCTTCATTAAATAAACATAAATATAAAAGCTTGAAGTAAATACTGAAAGCTCAAATAATCATCTCGGATAATATCTCAAATAGATCATGCTTTATCAATCACGACATAATTCAATCACTGGCATACAATTCACGTATACACACATACTTTAAAAACTCGTAAGGCAATTACTTGAAAACACGTAAGGCGTAGAATTTACCCCCTTAAACCACTCACCTCTCAAATGATGATCCTTACTTCCCTTGACGTGAAATCCTTAATCCGATTGCTTCTTTAACCCTATAAACTGAAATTATTTTCCCTTAGTCGGTAATCCTCAAATTCAGTTCCTTTAACGTATTGGGAAAAAATTTCCCTCATTGATTACTTAGTCCCAAAATCCTTTAAAAATGGCCCTCTATCTCTTTTAAATCATTTCCTCAAAACTTAAACTTTTCAACCTCTTTAATCAAGAATTAAATCAACTCAAGCAATTCAATATTTCTTAAAATAATTCTCATACAATTCTCATAAATTTCTCAAAATATATTTTCCAAATAAGACTCCACATTCTGACCTTGGTTAACTCAAATCATTAATCCCAATTAATAAACATAAGCCCCTCTTTTAAATAACCTCTTTTTCCTATTAAAATTAATCCTATATAATTTTTTTACCAAGTCACGAACACTAATAATTCTGATTCGTAATTTTATAACATCAATAAACAACCCTAGTTTCATGGAAAATTATCAAATCACCAAAAAGACTTTGTACAGTATTTTATTTAATTAAAACCGAAATTCGTTTAATTTTTATAAATACAAATACAGATCCAAAAATTCTAAAATTTATACACGAGCATCATACAAATATTCTCAAATTTATAAAATTATCATATTATGAAAATACCCACGGAAAACTGTCGGAAATTAACATAACCATGAAAAATACGATTTTCGGCCAAATTATCAAAACTTAAAACTCTGAGGGACTAAGCTGTATGTACTGAATTCATGGGGGACTTATCTGGACAATAGCCCAGCAATCTTTAGCGACCCAATCTATTCTGTCACTAAAAGGTTGTAATTTTCGTCACCAATTTTCTAGAAAACTATAACTCGTACAAACTCATACGTAATCGGTTTCGAATGCGAGGATCGTGGTTTCCTTACCTTGTATTCGTGCCTAGACGTCGATACAAAGATGTACGGCCCTTGTTCCTTGTTTAGGTCGACATTCGATGACCCCACGTCTTCCCCGTCAAAGCTACGGTGAAAGACATCCATGGTTAGTACCTACGGAGCTTTGAAGGTTAACAAAGGTTGTGATTCCTGTTGGGGGTATTACCCAGCAAGCTAAGAGATTGGGCTCCCCAAAGAAGGAGTTAGGGGGCAAGGCCCAAAAGGTAAGAACCAATATTCACTAGTGGCCCTCGGGCCCAAGAAAAGAGGAGGGACCTCAAGAGTAAAGTACCAAGAGCCAGGTGGCGGCCAACCGGCTGGTGGACCACGGCCTGGGTGCGCCTGTCAGGTGTCAGGAGTCTGACAGGGCGGTTAGCTGCCTCACAGAGCACCAAAAGCCAGGTGGCGGCCAACTGGCTGGTGGACCACGACCTGCGGGCGCCTGTCGTGTGTCAGGAGCCTGGCAGAGCTGTGGAATGCCAGTCAGGTGTCAGGAGTCTGACAGGGCAGTTAGCTGTCTGGGGGCGCAGAGCATTAAATGAGGGAGGTGACGTGGCGGAAATCAACCTCGGGTTCGGTGAGTATAAATAGGGGCAGTCGATGGCATTTATGCAGGTTGGTCTCACACACTAAAACCGCACTTGACACTTCTCTCTCTAACTTAGTTCTGACTTGGGCGTCGGAGTGCTAACGGGCATTCCCGAGCCCTTTAGGCGCTTGTCCTTGCAGGGTCCAGGCGCCTGCGCTGAGTTTGAAGGGGCAGAGATCGAGGAAGGTGGGACCGGAGGAACTTGGCTCAAACAATTGGCGCGCCAGGAAGGGGAAGAAGCAAATGGAAAACTTGAACGTTGCGAACGACGGGGAGGACGTTTCGAGGTTGGACAATTCGAGCCATGAGGAAGGCGAGCGGCAACCGAGCCGAGAGTTGAGCATGGAGGCAGAAGGGGAAGCGAGCCCTGGGCGCCTATCGGCGGAGGAAGGGGAGTCTTTGACGAAGAGAGAGCTATTCCGAATTATAGCCGACCAGGATCGGGCCATTGCGGCGGTCAGAAGGGAGTTGGAGGGGGAGCGAAGTGAGGACGTAATGATGTATAGCCCGGGCGTCAGGAAACGAGAAAGGATGGGAGAAGATTTGGAGTCTTTGCAGCACGGGCACCCGTACCAAGCTGACCAAGGACACGACGCACCAAGGCGTTCACGCGCCTGGAAAATGCCTACTGAGCATGCCCAGGTGGAGCCAGAAGACTTGTGGGCGCCTAGAAGAATCGCCAAGCGGTTCGGGGTCAGGCAACCATTGGCGCGAAGCATCCTAGTGGAACCGGCGGGAACCACAATTCCCCCGTTACCCAGTTACGACGGGGTGGCTGACCCAGAGGATCATTTGAACAGCTACTTCACGAAGATGCAATTGTACAACAGCTCAGAAGCCACGTTATGCAAGGTGTTCCCATCCACGTTTGCGGGCGTAGTGTTAGATTGGTACCATCAAATCGAAGAGGGGCGCATCGAATGCTTTGAACAGTTTGCGGAGTTATTCTTGTCCAAGTTTGCAAGTAGGAAGCGCCGGACACTAACCATAGGCGCATTGTTCAAGGTGAAGCAGAGGGAGGGGGAGGCGCTTAGAAAATTTTACGACCGATGGATCTCTGTAGCCATGGCGGTCAAAGACGTCCAACCGGCGGTACTGGGAGTTTGCTTGGACGCCTGTACCTCGAGCGAAGAACTCTGTCGAGTCCTCTCCAAGCGGGACGTGGTGTCCACAGAAGACCTAGACCGAAGGGTGCAGAAGGTAATCATGTTGGAGGAGACGTTGGCGGCACGGAGAGCTGAGAAGAGGCGCCTGAGGGGAGATGAGTTGGAGGTAAGGCAGGCGCCCCGAGTGCCCTCCGGGAATTATGGTCCGCAAAGAAGGCCTGAGGCACCTCGCCCTGTGCCGAGAAGCTCAGCCAACTTTACTGAATACAATGATACACTAAAGAATGTACTACAGTATGTGAAAGATAGGGGCTACCACATACGGTGGCCGGGGCCCATGCGCGGCCAACCAAACGAGAAGAACCTTGATAGGTATTGTGACTTTCATCGCGACAAGGGGCACTACACGGCCGACTGCTACCAGCTTAAAGCCGAACTACAGGCGTTAGCCGACAAAGGCATGCTCAATGACTTTGTTAGGAGGGCGGAAGACAGGACTCACCGGACGTACGTGGCGAGACAGGCGCCAGAGGCCACGAGGAACTCAAAGGCGCACGAAGCCCCAGGGACCCAAGAGGCGCCAGAAGGGCCGAAAACCCCACAGGAGCCGATGATACCCCCCCCCCCCCCCCATTTGAAGTAAACCAGGAGGGAAAGCCGAGTCGCATCAGGCTTACGGTCGAATCCATAACCGGCACTATAGACTTGAGGGAGAAGTTGGAAAGGTCTAGGCGCCTAAGATCCGCTTCAATTGAAGCAAGGGAAGCAGTGCAAATCAACTTCAATCAAGAGCCGGACGAGGCATGCCAGATCCCGTCAGAGGAAGCTTTAGAGATACATGGGGTGATCGCAGGATGTAAAGTGAAAAGGATGTTAGTTGATACTGGCAGCTCAATGGATGTCCTCTTCAAGAGCACGTTTGAGCGCATGCAACTGGCGCCAGAGTTGGTGCGCCCCTCGAGTTCGGTGTTAATTGGGTTTTCCGGTGCGCCAGCCCAGGTCATCGAGCGTGTACGCCTACCAGTGACCCTCGGAAATGAGACACATTGTGTGACGCATGCAGTGGAGTTTGGGATTGTAGACTGCCCATCGCCCTACAATGTGATACTTGGTCGTCCGCTACTAGCACAGTTCAATGGCGTGGCGTCCACTTGTCACCAGACGCTGAAGTTCGTAGCACCCCAGGGCATAGGCATTTCCAGGGGAAGAAATGTTCCACGATACGCCCGAGAAGAAGACCCAAGGAGCCGCGCTCGCAAACATAGGGTCAACACTATCGACGTCCGCCTCGAGGAGGCGCCTAGGGCGGAAGCCCTGGACGACGAGCTTGTAGTAGCCTTGGACGAAGGGTACCCGGAGAGGCAAGTGCGAATTTCGGCACAGGCCCCTGAAGTAATGAAGGCGCCCCTGATCGAGCTACTGCGGGAGTTTGGGGAGCTATTTGCGTGGGGCGCCCAAGACATGCCAGGCGTTTCTCCAGACGTGGCAGTGCACAGGCTGGCGGTGGAAGTAGGGAAAAAGCCCGTACAACAGAAACGCAGAAACTTGTCTCAAGAAAAGGAGGAGGCGCTCCACCGAGAGGTCGACAGATTGCTCGAAGCAGGATTTGTAGAAGAAGCAAGATACATCATATGGCTTTCCAATGTGGTATTCGTCCCAAAGCCTTCGGGGGATTGGAGGATGTGTGTAGACTTCACCAACCTTAATCGAGCATGCCCCACGGATGCATACCCCATGCCACGCATTGACCTGCTTGTGGATGCCACCGCATATCACGAAGCACTTAGTTTCTTGGACATGTTCTCGGGCTACCATCAAATTCCTATGGCCGAGGAGGATATGGCCAAGACAGCATTCATGACGCCCTTTGGGAACTTCTGCTACAGAGTGATGGCGTTTAGCTTGAAGAACGCCGGAGCAACATATCAACGTATGGTGAATCAGATTTTCCGCAAGCAAATAGGAAGAAACTTGGAGGCGTATGTGGACGATTTGATTGTGAAGAGCAAGAAGCGCCAGGATCACATCATGGACTTGCGAGAAACATTTGAAACAATGCGGCACTTCCGGTTGCGACTTAACCCCAAGAAGTGTGTGTTCTTGGCCGAAGCAGGAAAGTTCTTGGGATTCATGATAACAAGAAGGGGAATCGAGGCTAATCCTAAGCAAGTTGAGGCGATCATGAGTCTGGGCCACCCCCGAACGCCTAAAGAGGTGCAAATCCTGACGGGGAGATTGGCGGCGCTTGGGCGCTTCATCCCAAGAGCCTCTGACCGAGGCGCTCCGTTCTTCAGGATATTGAAGAAAGCTTCCAAGTTCAAGTGGACCATCGAATGTGATGAAGCTTTTGAGGAGTTGAAAAGATTGCTCACAGCGCCCACGGTGATGACGGCGCCCAAGGCCAATGAAGTGTTATATCTATACATAGCCGTGTCCGTAATCGCAGTGAGTGTCGTCCTCATATCCAAGGACCCCTTGACGAACGAGGAGAAGCCAGTGTATTACGTGAGCCGAACCATGGTGGGTCATGAGACGCGCTATGCGCCCATAGAGAAGGCGGCCCTGGCGGTCGTGATGGCGGCCAACAAACTCCGGCCTTACTTCCAGGCTCATCGCATTGTGGTGCTCACAAACCTTCCCCTTAAGACGGTACTAGGATCAATGGATGTGTCCGGGCGCCTGGTAAAGTGGGCTGTGCAACTCAGCGAGTTTGATATAACCTATGCGCCCCGTCCCGCCATCAAGGCTCAGGCGTTGGCAGACTTTGTGGCCGAAGGGGTGATTGACGGTGGAGCCAGCGGGGAGGAGTGTTGGCAAGTGTATGTCGACGGAGCTGCGAGTAGGATAGGCGCTGGGGCCGGGGTGGTACTCATCAGTCCACTGGGCGCCCTACACGAAGTGGCGTTACGATTTGCGACCTTAAAGACAAACAACGCTGGTGAGTATGAGGCCGTGCTTGCGGGACTCCACATCGCGAGAGAACTAGGCGCCCAAAAAGTGAGTGTGAAAACCGATTCGGCATTGGTGGTTAATCAACTGAACGAGGTGTATGAGGTAAAGGAAGAAACATTGGGAGCTTAAGTGGAGGCCGTCCGCAAAAAGTGCGCTTGGTTCCGCGGCGTGACATTCACACATATTCCAAGAGAGGAGAATGCTCATGCGGATGCCTTGTCGAAGTTGGCAACGGCCCTGGATTTTGAGGAGAATCGAACAGTGATTGTGACGAAGGAGGTGCCACACGAGGAAATGGTGATGGCCTCTATCACGACTGGAGAAAGGGAAGGATGGATGGCTCCGATATGGCTCTTTCTCACCCAAGGAAAGGTGCCTGATGACCCGAAAGAAGCATGGCGCCTACGACGAAAGGCAGCACGATGTGCCATAATCGAG